TTTATCATCCGCGAAACACCGCAAATACGTTTCCAAGGAACGATTCACGACTTCAGTTTGTCCATCAGATTCTGGGTGGTAGGCTGAACTAGTATGCAACTTAGTGCCTTATAACTTGAATAGCTCGCGCCAAAATCCACTCATGAACACAGCGTCACGATCGCTCACAATTGACCGTGGGATCCCATGCAGCTTGACGATGTTTGTGATAACCAAGGCAGCCACCTGCTTGGCAAAAAATGGATGAGCCAGGGGACAAAAGTGGGCGTACTTGGACAAGCGATCCACCACCACCAATATGGTGTCAAAGCCACCGGATTTTGGTAAGCTGCCCACAAAATCCATGGAGATATTGTCCCAGACTTGGGTGGGAATAGGGAGGGGCTGTAAGAGGCCGGCAGGGGATAGTGCTTCTGACTTGTTCTTCTAATATATCTCACAGTGAGCTACGTAATCCCGAATGTGCTGCATCATTCCTCTCCAAAAAACCACTGTGAACAGCCGTTTGTAGGTGCGTACAAAACTAGAGTGTCCCCCAATTACCGAGTCATGAAATTTGTGGATCAATCGAGCTATCCAAGGGGAGTTTTCTACCAACACCAGCCTGTCTTTGTAGAATAGCAGGCTGTTCTTCAACGAATAACCTTCCAAAACTTCCCCTTTCTCGAGTTTAGAAATGATAGGATCCCACGTTGGTTATGTGCGTTGCTCCAACTGAATGGCGGCGAAATCCCACGTGTGGGGTATAGTTAGAGCGGAGAGGGAAGTCTCATTCCAGTTGCCCCGTCGAGACAGTGCATCTGCAACCCGGTTGGATGCCCCCAATTTGTACAGTACTTCAAAATCGTAACCCAACAATTTGTACACCCAACGTAGCTGCTCGGGGGGAAGCTGTTGTTGACTCATCAAGAACCGCAGGCTTTGTTGGTCGGTCCTAACCACAAAGTGGCGGCCTAAGAGGTAGTGCCTCCATTTTTGGACTGCAAGAACCACCCCCATTTATTCCCTCTCGTAGACGGACTTCAAACGGGAAGAAGGGGCGAGTGCTTTACTGAAAAAGGCAATGGGCCTGTCCTCCTGCATCAGCACCGCTCCCAAGCCACTTCCTGAAGTGTCGGTTTTGATAACAAAGGGTTTAGAGAAGTCGGGCATGGCCAAGACCGGAATTCGAGTCATTACCGATTTGAGGTCTTTAAACGTGCGGGCTGCCTCATTAATCCATACAAAAGCCTTTCTTCTTGAGCAGCTCTGTCAAAGGCTTTGCAATATTTCCATAGCCCCGGACAAAGCGCCTGTAGTATCCGGTGAGCCCTAAGAACCCACGCACCTCTCTTGTGTTGCTCAACGGAGGCCATGAGGAGATTGCCTGTATCTTGGACGGGTCGGCTGCCACCCCCCGCGCCGAAATAATATGGCCCAAGTATTCCAGCTGCTGCCGGCCGAAACAACACTTTTTCTTATTGGCAACCAACTGCTCACGTTGCAATAGGCTAAGTACAACGGTGAGGTGCTGCCGATGCTCCTCCCACGAGCGACTGTAGACCAAAATGTAGTCAAAGAATACCAAGACAAATTTCCGAAGATGTGGACAGAAAATGCGATTCATGAGAGCCTGGAAAGTGGCCGGGGCATTCGTCAAGCTGAAGGGCATGACGAGAAACTCGTAGTGACCCTCATGTGTGCGAAAGGCCGTCTTTTCGACATCCGCCTCATGCACTCGGATCTGGTGATATCCAGCTCGCAAATCCAACTTCGAAAACACCACCGCCCCATGGAGTTCGTCCAACAATTCGTCGATCATCGGAATCGGAAACTTATCAGGAATGGTTACTTGATTCAGCGCGCGATAGTCCACGCAAAATTGCCAGCTCCCATCCTTCTTCTTGACCAAGATAACCGGACCGGAATATGGACTGCTACTCGGCCGAATAATCCCAAAAGTTAGCATGTCCGACACCAAGCGTTCGATCTCTCCTTTTTGGATTTGTGGAAACCGGTAAGGCCGTACGTTTGGCGGATCAACACCCTATTTCAGCACAATCCGATGGTCCCGTCCCCGCTGCGGCGGCAACCCTGTCGGGGTCTCAAACACCTTTTCGAAATGGTCAACAACTGTTCGTACCTTCACTGGAATCTCTCGGTTTTCTTCTTCCCTGTCTAGCCCCGAAAACTCACACTTCCACCAGCAATCCAGACCCATCCGGTGACAACGTCCGGACCAAGGAGCTCATATTGACCAGCGCGTAGCACAGACTAGGATCGCCCCTCCAAATCACCCAAGTTGGCCCTGCCCGGAACTTCATTAGGATTTTGCCCAATCCGCCCTTACTTCGCCGAGTGTGCTGAGCCACGACACCCCCAGAACCAGATCCGCTCCCCCAAACTCAAAGGAAAAGAAGTCTTCTACCACCAAGTGTCCTTGAATCCACACATTCACCCTCCCCCACACTCCGGTCTGCTTGACACTCAAACCATTACCAACTACAATGTTGTGACTTACCGTGGAGTCCATCGGCAAGCGCAACTCCCCCACCACCGTTTCTGATATGAAGCTATGAGTTGCTCTGCCGTCCACAAGCACCACTACCTCTCGGGCTCTGATCCGACCCCGGAGCTTCAGGGTATTGGAAGATGACACCCCTTGCATCAGTTCAAGGACAAATCCACTTTCTCGTTCGTGACCTCCTTCCCTTTGTCCTCCACCGACCGAGTTTCTTGACCATCGTCCCTGTCTTCTCCAGAGTATTCCTCCTCATCCGCCAGAATTAATACCTGTAACTGCCTATTCTTGCAGCGACGTCCCGGACCAAATTTTTCGTTGCATTTAAAGCAAAGGCCCCTAGACCGCCGGTGTTGTATCTCCTCCTCCGTGAGCCGGCGGTACGCCAACGCTGGGCCGGCCAGTGGAGGCGACCCCAAACCATTACCTAGCCGTGCCCCTTGACCCATCACTGCTTCACTCTGGGGTTTGGATCGAAGGGGGCCCTCTGGTGAAAGGAAGTAGCACTTGGGCCCCAAAGGATCCCCTAGAACGTCCCCATAATTTAGCTCTGGGCCCTCGGCCCATATGGTTCCTTCTAACCCGGTCCACCGCCTCATTACGGGCCTCTACCTGCTGAGCCAAGTCCATCATCTCATGTAGACCATTGGGCCGGTGCATCTTCAGTTCAGCCCGTATGTCTTCCCTCAGCCCATGGAGGAAAGCCCCCTTGAATATGGCTTCAGGGACCCCTTGCATTTGTGCCGCCGTGGTCTTGAACTCGTCTCGATAGTCCGCCACTGATTGCCCACTGCCGGAGAGCCATTAGTTGTTCCACCGGATCTACTTCTCTCGCGCGTCCAAACCGCCGTAGCACCGCCGCCCTGAGTTCCCGCCAAGATCTGAACGGATCTCGCGCATCTGCCCACTGGAACCAACCCAAGGCTCTACCCTCCATGCACACCAACGCGACCACCACCTTCTCCTCTTCCTCCACGTCGCTCACGGCAAAGTACCTGTCGGCCCTAAACACCCATCCTTGTGGGTCGTCCCCGTGAAAAAGAGGCATCTCCAATTTCCTTCCCCTGTGCTCCGCCTGTCCTCTCGGAATCGGAGGCGTGTCCTGCTGCAC